TAAACCACATATCTCTCCGAAGTTGGAGTGGTAAATCTTCTAACAATTCTGGCAACGTATTTTGTAGAAAATCCAAATAATTTTCTCCAGTTAATCTTCGTGGAAGTATGACAGGACCAACAATGAAATTACCAATTATTCCAGCCCACACATTAATTTTGAATTCGTGCTGAAAATGGTTTATCTTTATTGCATGCGGATTTTCAACGGCATAAACATGTTCATTATGGGTATTAGTTATACCTCTTCTTGTAAAACCCGCTTCATCGGTAAAGAGAACCTTCTTGACAAAGTTTGGATCTCTTTCTCTTTGCATATTAACAATTCGACAAAAACAGCAGCAAAAGTTGGGTGGCTAAATACACGACGATTTGGAAACCTTTCAGAGTACACCCTGACACTTTCTCGAGCATTTCCTTCACAAAATCCTAATGTCAGTAACATATCGGTATATTCTGCATTGGTATATTGTACAGCCATATTAATAAACCACGCATTTGTTTTTTTAATTATTGAGTCAGATATAACACTTTCAATCGTTAACAAGAGATTAGGTGTTGAAACTTGACAATATTTTTATTTAGATAAAACTATGGAAACCAACAATAAATGTTTTTGTATACGTATTGCAGGCAAATAATTAATATTCCTCAAAAAATCGTACATGGCAAGAATCGAGTATTTTTGTTAAAAGTCTCGATTAGAGGTGTTGAAGAAGATATGAAAAAAGTACATTTTTATGTTTTTCATCATATAAAATTTTGTCCGATAATAATACATAGGCGTAGAACTTGATTTTTTAAATAATTGCACCTTTAAAAATTCTACGCCAATGGCAAAAAAGGGGTTTGAGTATGAAATTTGGATTGGGTACTCATTTACTACAAAAAAGTACCCTTGATAATACTCTATTTACTCTCATGGTTTTGACAAAGTTTGTATTTTAATAATTATTGTTTATGTTCTAAAATTACTAAAATGCAAATTTCAACAAAACCATGAGAGTAATCGAGTCTTATCAATAGTACCTTTTTTAAATTAAATGAGTTGCGCAATCTAAATTTCATGCTCAAACTCCTTTTCTTTCATTGGCGTAGAATTTTTAAAGGTGCAATTATTTAAAAAATCAAGTTCTACGCCTATGTATTATTATCATCGGACAAAATTGTAATACCATTTTTTTGCCAAATAAAACTCTAACAATATACCAAATTTCAGCAAAATCGCATATGCCGTTATAAATTTATATGGGAAAAACGATTTAAAAATTGTAACTTCAAGGCCCTCTGGAGCCCAAACGAAGCAACTTTGTACTAAGGTAATTTTACTTAAATCGACTTATTTTGGTCTAAGGAATATGTGGTATGTTTTTGTAAAGACCTTTTACAGACACTCTGTATATGACTTAAATCTTTCATCATTCCTGGGAAATCTAAAAATTATAATTCACTTATATGTACCTATATAGTTTTATAATATACAGGACGAGGCACCGAAAACGTAACAAATCGCATATCTTGAAGACACATTTTTTTTGGGGAAAATGCAAAAGAGATGACATCTTTCGATCATATCCTACATCCCTCCCCACCACTCTGTCACTATTACCAATTAAATTGAAATAGGGAAAGTACTAAGTGTGACATATCATTGAAAAGGTAATTTTATAAGGGATTTGACTGTGTGACATGTGACAGTTCAAATAAGCGTATTGTCATGTGAAAGCCAAATTTAAAAATATAATGCATAATTACCTTTGGAATAAAATTTAACTTACTACGCCTATGTTTTCGTAAAATATAAAGAAAGGTTTTTATTTCCATAACTACCAGGTCTGTTTTTTAGTTTAGCGTCATTGATACTTCAAGTCTATTAGCGAGTAAAACATGAAAATGGTTTATTCTATTCAGGAGAGAGTAGAAATTGTTGAATGTTATTTAAAAAATAACGAATGTGCTAATACTGCTTGTACAATTTTCAATGAGCGACACCCAAACAAACAGGTTAAACAGGATCTGTTCAAAATAAAAAACGGCAGATTCAAAATCCAGTAAGAAACGAAGCCGTAGAGGTAGCCGTTTTAGGACAAGTTGTTGCAGATCCAACTCTTATTACAAGGAAGCTTGCAGAATTATCTGGAGTAAGTGACCGTACCGTCAGGAGAATTTTGAGAGCCAACAAATTTCATCCCTATAAAATTCATTTAGTTCAAAAACGTAATATCTTACTTGTGAAAGGATATATCGGAATTTACTGGCAATAACCTGGAGTGATTTTTATAACTTTTCAATGAACAACCAGGCATTTCAAAGTTTCTAAAGAACTTCTAAACTAATTTATAAAGATTTCAATATGATTTTAATTAACGGAACGAACAATAAAATTTTAAAACACTCACTAAACGACTAAACAAAATTCGATAGATATAATTCAGGAACATAAACGAAAACAATGCAAAACACTAAAATAGGATCGGCATTATCGGCATCGAAAGTTGACACTTAAATCTGACAATTAGCTGGCAAAATGGCGGAATATTCTATCCCATTTCAGTAGACAGTCAGATCAGATGCGCAGTCATTCTTTAGCCGTATATTTCTCTAGGTGTGTGGCATACTCCAAATAGGAAGGAATGGAATGAAAAAATGTAAAACGTAGTAATGATTAACATTTTGACTCACGAGTTTTTGTTTCAAGAGTAAAAATTATATTTTGGTCATATATTGTCAAAATATGATATTTGCAAACACTTCGGACATTTTTTTGGAATTGACACCCCTAGTAGTACGAAAAAAAGTGTCTACACTTGTAGACATCAGTAGTCGAAACATTTTATGATATTTATTGAAAAACAAAAGAACAATGGTTACATAAAATCAAATATAAAAAACTGTGTTCATTCCAAATCAATTTTTGTGAAAGTTCTTGAAACAGTTGCTATTTTTCTGAAGGCACAAATGTGCCTTACATTTGTTCGATATAATGATATGAGTGCATCAGCTTTGTCGACGCCACCCATAGAAGTATTGTACTCCTTCACTATTTGCGGTCGGTTCACTTCAATACGAGATTTTGTATTTTTATCCCAGCGTTTCACATTGTCCTGGTCGCCTATTCCAACATAGTTTGATGCCAGATCTACTGGTTTATTATCCAGCCAGTTGACCAAAACATCTTCGTTTGATATAACTTCTTCAGAAAATCCCCTCTGTGTTTTACGAAAATCCCTATCGTTTGTGAGAGGAGGCTTGGAAAATCTATTCAGTCTGACAGTACCAGTCACGAAAATTGACTTTTGATTCAAAACTTCGATCAAGTTGTAAGACGTGAAATAGTTATCACAAAATAATGTATGCTTTCGTGGCGCTAACATTTCTGATAGTTGTAATACTATCGCAGCACCTTGCCCAAATTTTTTTGATAACTGTGGATTTATTTCTGTTGCATTTCCTTGATATATGATGAAATTGTATGTTAGACCACTTGCACCACAGAGAAGAAATAATTTGAAGCCTCAAGGATGTGGCTTATTTTTTATATACTGTTTTATATTCGAGTGGCCTTTGAATGGGACCATCTGTTCGTCTACGCAAACATTTTTTTCAACATCCAGCTCTCTGCATCTATTGAGTACGAAATCGAAGATTGGTCTCACTTTCCATAGCTTATTGTTCCGATTTTGGTCATCCAAATTGTTGACGCAATGTAGATTGGTTCGAAGTTTGTAGAATCTATTTATAGCCATTGTCTCGTGAAATATTTGAACTTTCAATGACTTATTCCAGTACATACTCAGTCGTGGAAACTTCAAACAGCCTGTGATTATGTGCAATCCAAAGAAAGCTTTCAGCCCTTTTGGTATTGGTGGATGGAAAATGCATGTCGTTGTTTTGAAGTGCATAAATATTGGTGCACTCTACCATTTGCTCGAATAAGTTCTCTGGGAAATATTTTATCTTTCACCTTACTGACTGCAGCAAAATTGGATTTAGAATACATTATACCTTAATCGTACCGCTAAAAACTTGTTGAAGTTTTTTATGATACATGGTAAAGGTATTGGAGATTTGAAAAATGAATTTAAATTACTTTTATAGTGTATTTTGATACATGTGCACATTGATTTGTTGAGGTTATTTATTTGATTTGAAAATGGTTTACAGTTTACAAGAAAGAATTGAACTTGTAGGTTTATACTACAAAAATAACAGTTCTGCACGAGCTGCTGCTAGAATTTTCAACGAAACACACCAAGGAGGTCATGCAACTAGTGGTGTGCAAATACTATCTACTCGATACTTTAATACCTGATACATAGGCGGATTCGAAGTAATCGAATCCTTCGACGCCAAATACTCGTTACTCGAATCCCGAATGGGACCGAATCCGAAGTGTTACTTTCGTATCAATCGTATCGGCATCGGCCGTATGAGTAACGAGTTTGGAGTACTTGTAATCATTTGGACCGATATTTATTTACTTAAATATTTGAGCTGTTGATGTGTTATGTCGTCTAGCGGGGCGGCTTATCTAGCGGTTTACTGTAGGCGAGTTAGGATAGTCAGGGGCTGGAGCGGGACACAAGCGGACTAAACCGAACGCAAGAAGGGTCGTTTGGGGTAAAAAGTGTTAAAGGAGTTAAAGAAACTTGGCAAACCGAACGCAATGTCTTAATGGGCTCTCCCTAGTCATAAATATCATGTCATAAATCGTTTAAGGTTCGAGAAATTATTGGATCTTTTATTATTTTTGTATTTTGTGTAGGTACATAAATTGCTGAAATTGGTAAAAGCTCGTTATTTATTCAATATATGTATGGGATGAAATATTGACGCTTTGTTTTCCCACGTCTCTTCCACTAAGTAGGGTGGTACCACCTAAGTAAGACGTTTATATCTAATTCTCGGTTATAAAATACAGGGTAGTTTTTAGTTTTATATGAGGTACCGTAGAGTTTAAGTGTGATTTTTTGAACGTTGTATTTTTAAATATTAATAGAGATGTCGGATAGGAAAAAAAGTGAAGTTTGGTTGCATTTTACTGTGGTCAATAGTGAAAAAGCTAAATGTGATATTTGTAAGAATGTGTTATCTTATAAAGGCGGGGCGACTTCAAATCTACAAAAACATTTAAAAGCAAAACATTTTTCTACGCTCAATGAAAATGAGACTACTTCTCAACATCAACAATCTCAATCGGCCAGGACGACTACTGACGAGGCTGGGGCAGGTCCTTCAAGTGCTCCAGGTGTAAGACATGACGACAGTACTACCAAGATTTCTTTACAATCTCAATTGGCCGAAGTACCTACACGTAAACTTGCACAAACCAAAATGTCGGCTTTTTCTGTACGCCCAGCATCTGTGTCTAGAACAAAAATGCTAAATGGAATGGTCCTAAACATGATTTTACAAGATCTTCAACCATTTTCTGTAGTCGAGGATAATGGATTTAGAGCCCTAATAGCTGTCCTTGATCCTTCCTATCAACTACCATCAAGAACAACTTTTAGTCGTGATTTGTTGAATAAAAAATATGATGACGTTGTATTGAGAGTGAAATCTTTATTAAATGAAGCAGAGTATATAACACTTACAACTGACACTTGGACATCACGTTCTGTTGAAAATTACATGGCAGTAACTGCACATTATGTGACTAGGGAGTGGACACAAAAATCACTATTACTGGGTTGCTTTCATTTCCAAGAAAGTCATACAGCTGAAAATATTAGAAATAAGTTATTGCAAATTTTAAATGAATGGAATATTGCTGATAAAATAGTAGCTGTAGTAACAGACAATGCAAGAAACATAACAGCCGCAATAAAGCTAACTGGTTGGCCAAATCTGCCATGTCTGGCACACACATTAAATCTTGTGGTTCAAGATTCTTTAAAATTATTAGAACCATTACAGAAAAAAGTTAAAAAATTGTAGAACATTTTCATCGGAGCACTACAGCAGCAGAAAAACTCAACGAAATGCAAACACAAATGACTGGAAAAAATTTAAAACTAATTAACGACGTTATTACCCTTTGGAACTCCACCTATTTTATGTTTAGCAGAATTTGTGACGTTCAAATACCACTTGAGCAGCTGTTGGTATTTTGCATAACCCTGTTGAGATACTTACTGTAGCTGAATGGTCAGTATTAAAACAATGTTGTGTCCTTTTAAAACCTTTTGAGGAAGTAACTAGAGAACTGAGTGCCGAAAAACGTGTATGTGTTTCAAAAATAATACCATTGATAGAAAGCTTAAAACAGTTTTTGTGTGGCCTTCAGACCGCATCGAGTTTAAAAGACTGTTTGATACAGGGCTTAAGAACGAGATTTCATCGTGTTGAGTTTATAAAACATCAGTATCAGAAGGTGAAGAGGAGGCTATGGAAGAGGATTCAATATGGAAAAGTTTTGACGCAAAAGTCGTAAAAAATACATCGACAGTAGCCGCTTCAATTATTGAAATGAAACAGTATGCAGAGGAAAATAACATTAAGAGAAAGGACGACCCCCTAAAATGGTGGAAAATAAGGGAAGCAGTGTATCCAAATTTATCAAAGTTGGCAAAAAAATACCTAGGTGTAACGGCAACTTCTGTTCCAAGTGAACGAGTGTTTTCTAAGGCGGGCCAAGTGGTTTCGGATCGTAGAAGTAGACTTAAACCAAAAAAAGTAGAAAAAGTTTTGTTTTTAAATGGCAATGCGCATTTATTTTAATTTTTTGGTTAATTAATTTCTTTTTAATTTATACCTACCTATATTTAGTCGTAGACTATTTGAGACTTTGAGAGCTATTTTTTTATTTAAACAATATTTTTTGAGTTTTTTTAACATAGTTTAGTAGTTTTTTAAAATAATATGTTTTATGTTTTGTTTACATTTATAATATATTTCTTTTGTACCAAAATTTATTTTTGTTTGTTTTTTTTAATCTATTTAAAAAAACTGCCTATTCTACCTAAATAATTTTAAAAATTACCTTCATAAAACCATTCATTTGGATACTAAAATAAAATATACAACAATTCCATCATAAAATTACAGCTTTTTGTGGTCTACTATATTTTTGTATATTTAATAATATTTTTACATTCTGGTATGCCTTGACAATATTTCAAAATAAAGAATTAAGTGTTAAATCATTTAATCATTAAGTGAACTATTGCGTATGCGTATACGATTGACAACATAGAAAATCTCAGTAGTTATTGGATTTACCGATAATATAATGATTACTTAGTACCGAATACAAAATATCTGATACTCGAATAGGAAGTATCAGTATCTACTCGATACTTGGAAAAGTAATCGTTGCACATCACTACATGCAACTCATAAGTATGTAATTGATCTTATGCATAAATTTACATCAACCGGGTCAGTTGGCAATAAAAAACATAACCGACTGGAACTCGTAAATAACGAAGCAATTGAAGTCGCAGTTTTAGGACAAGTAAGTCTTGAAAATCAACAAGCACAGTCACTGACAACAATAAGCAGAGAAGTAGGTGTTTCATCTTCCACAGTTTATCGAATATTACACAAGCATAAGTACCATCCATACAAAATTAAATTGGTTCAAGAGTTGTATGAAAATGATTTTGATCGTCGTCTTGAATTTTGTGAACTATTGAGTCAGCGCTTGACTGACAATCCACATTTGTTGCACAACCTTTGTTTTTCGGATGAATGCACATTTTCAGTTAATGGTTTAGTTAATAGACATAATTGCAGATATTGGGCTGAGAGTGATCCACATGTTGTGCGTGAATACCACACACAGAATCCTCAAAAGTTAAATGTATGGTGTGGTATCCTAGGTGACCACATAGTCGGACCTTTCTTTTTAGACGGAAACTTAAATGGAGAGTCATATCTTGGGTTATTGAGAGAAGTAATTGATCCACGTATTACAACAATAATAGAAAATGATCATAATCTTTCTGAAGATTTGCTTGTCTTTCAACAGGATGGAGCGCCTCCACATTTTGCTTTGCCAGTACGACAATTTTTAAATGAAACTTTCCCCAATCGTTGGATAGGTAGAAGAGGCTCGATGATGGAGTGGCCACCTAGATCACCGGATTTATCACCTCTAGATTTCTTTTTATGGGGTTATTTAAAAACAAAAATTTATGCTACCCAATCAGAATCTTTAGATTTACGACAAAGAATAGAGTATGAATGCCTACATTTAAATGCACACGTGTTCGATAATGTCAGGGAGGCTTTTCAATCTAGGTTATACCATTGTATGGAAGTAAATGGTGGACATTTTGATCAATTTTTATAATAAATTTTGAAAATGAAATATTCGTTTTGTCATTGGAAACGCTTGTGACAAAATCATTAAAATAAAAGTTTTGCACAATTCAATTTTATTTTAATTTAAAATTCTGTAGATCGTAAACTAATTACTTTAATCCCCATGTTTTATACATTTTTGAAATCAGTTAAACAAGAGCAATCCAAAAATGGATAAAAAAATGGGGCAAGCCATTTAAAAAAATTGAAGGGATGATAGTAGTGGTGAAAGGGTGACTTTTTTAGCAAATTTAAATATGGCACGATATCTTCCCCTTCGAATATTAATTGACGTATTTTTTTGTTTTTTGTAATAATCAGTCCTTCAAAAGTTACTTAAGGTGGATACTTTTATCTGAAAAGCACTGTATATGTGACTACTTGTCTATAACAGATGTCACCGCTAACTGACTAACACATGTGCACTGACGTCTACGAATGTATTCAGGGTTATATAAACGCGAAACGAAGTAAATTGTGGGTATCATGGATACTGGAAAGTTAGTGTCTACAATTGTAGACACCGTGAGTCAAAGGGTTAAGATAGAATAGGTCTAGCTTAGAATAGAATAAGGAAGAATAGATTCGGTTAAGTTAGAATAGCGTAGCATAGAATAGGTTTATTTGTAATAGCGTAGTTTATGGATAAGGTAGAATAGATTAGAATAAGATATAGAATAGTGTAGAATAGTTTAGTTTAGGATAGTATAGAATAGTGTAGAATATTTTAGTTTAGGATAATATAGAATAGATTAGAATAGCTTAGAATATAATAGAATTAGATTATATAGTTAAATAAAATGAAAAAATCAAATCAAAAAGATATTTTAGTAACTAATCATTTATAAAAAATAAAACTGTAGACGTCTATAGAAATATAATTTCGGATAATAAAAGAAAACTTCATCGCGATTCGGATGATGTTATTGATCTTTTAATGAGGCGTGAAAATTTAAATTATATCCAGCTCGTTGAGGAACCTTTATTTGCTTGTCCATAAAGAGGAACAATTGTTTTTATTAAAAAATGCAATTAGGGATGCGCATCTATCAAAAAAATAACTGCCTATGTTGATGCTACCGGGTCTAAAGTAAGAATCCTAAAACAGTCGAAACCAATCGAATTTTCTTATATTCCATAGTTATTCGCCTAAAAGACAGTTCAAGAGAATCCGGTACGGTGTGTAAAGTTTTATTTTATTTCCAATCTACAAAATATAACGACTATTTCAGCGTGGTAGTCACATTTTAAAATGTTATGGATAAATTTTTGTGTGACTTGGCCAATGTTTGATAAAGTCGTAACCGATTTTAGTATGGCAGAATTAGACGCGCTAAGTTAGGCTTTTAATGAAATGTCTTATCGCCTACATTAATAATTGGTACAATATTATTTATGTTAATGAACAGAATAACAGTTTAACTCATTTAGCCTTGTGTTGCGCTTATTTAATGAAATTTTTTATGAATTGTATAAATAGTTAATATAAGATAGTAACGTAAGGACTATTTTAAAAGAGTCGTTATACATATAAAAACCTTTCGGCAAGTAGAACAATGGTTCTAATCATTCACTGTATTAACATGTTCGAAACTTGAAAGTCTCTTAGTAACTCACGCGAAAAATAATATAAATGTATATACATATATTAAGATATAATAGGACTTAGAATAGAATAAGATGGATTAGATTCTGTTAAATTAGAATAGCGTATCATAGAATAGGTTTAGTTATAATAGAATAGTTTTAGGATAGGGTAGAACAGATTATGTTAAATTAGAATAGCGTAGAATAGGTTTAGTTATAATAGCTTAGTTTTAGGATAAGGTAGAATAGATTAAAATAAGATACAAAATAGTTTAGGGTAGTTTAGTTTAGGGTAATATAAAATAAATTAGAGTCGTTATTAATTTTATTATGACCGAATTAAATGCAACAAGTCAGACCTTTAATAAAATGTCTTTTATCGGCTATAATAATAACAATAATTGTTACAATATTATTTGTAATAATAAACAAGTAGAATGGAAATGAGAGAGCAAAATGTGCAAAACCCATGGACACGGAAACGGAGATATCCAATAATAGGCAATATGAGCTATCTATCGGTGCGTCACTCCAGAAATAGTGATTCAAAAGACAGAATGAATTGAAGTTAATATACAGAACATCTTCCCTTCAAGATATTTCAGCAGACGCGTTATATTGGAGTGATTAGGATAGAAATCCAGAAATGATTGGAATAAGTGATAAAAAATTTGTGGTACCCCAGTTTATAAAGGACCACTTAATGCGCATGTTATGGTGCAATTAAAGAGACAAGTACATGACAAGAGACAGGTTCACCCAGCTATTGCGCTACATACATTTCGCTGATAACAACAACCCCAATGATAAATTATGGAAAATAAGAACCATATTCGAAGAGTGGAATAGAAAATGTGCAACATTTTTCCATCCGTTTCAAAAACTTGTCATTGATGAATCCATGATATTGTTCAAACAGTATATACCGTCAAAGAGACATCGATTCGGAATAAAAACGTTTGTGTTGTGTGATTGTGAAACCGGAATTGTTTTGAATATATTAGTATACACTGGATCTGAAATTGACATTCCTCGAAATGATTCCCCAGGAAGAGTTTCCCTACGACTGAATATATTTATAAGGAAAGTCGTCAACAAATTTTAGAAAGGCATGGAACTCTGACTGCTGCTAGAACAGGGAGACAAAGCATGGAAGTAATTGTTCGCTTAGCTGCAGTAAATTTCATGGAAAAACATTTTCCCGCATATATGTTCCACCCACTGGAACTAGACAAAAGGGGCAAAGGATTTGCGTATGTTCCAATACCGACTGTGATGTAAGAAAACGGAAGTATGTTACAACTTGGTTTCTGATTTTTTTCGCAACCTGTTTTATTGAATAAAAATAATTTTTCTTAATGTTTCGGCCGACATAAAGCAGTCTTCATCAGAGCAAAAATCCAGTACACTTTCAATATTGTATAATTTTGTTATTTCACAGTGTATTTTTGTAATCGCTATTTATGTATAGATATGTTATTCTCTGAACTATAGTTTTACTTTCAACCCCACGAAATAAACTACTGTTCATAAGAAAATTTGTATTTATTATAATAAGGAAATTTTTATGATCCAATGTGTGACTTGGACATACATTTATATTTCATTTGTATATTGTTAGGTAACACTGAAGTAGATATGATTGGTATGCGGAGCAGCGGCGCAGCGCAAGATGGCGGTCGGCACATCTGGCGGCCACATGTTTCCGGCCATATGGTGAACACATGACGGCCATCTGGCGAACGCATGTTGTAATTTGATGGGAAAGATAAAGACATCTGCAGACCACATACATAGAGAACATTTGGAGACCAGCTGCATAAAGAACATCTGGAGACCATCCTACACATCTGGAGCCCATCTGGAGATTTTTTATACAGTCACCTGCATCCCAAGCAACTCTGTTTACAGGCCTTTTATTTTTTTGTTATTTTATATTGGTGGAGTGAGCCTTTCAATAGTACTTAAGCAATATTTACCTCCTTTACTCAGAACTGCAAAACCTAAACTTGAGCAATATGAGTTATCGGTGTGTCACTCCTGAAATTCTGTTTCAGAAGACAGATAATGAGGTTAAGCTCATATACAAAACATCAACCCTTCAAGATCTCTCAGCAAATTCGTTATATTGGGCTTTTAAAGACATAAATCCGGAAATCATCGGGATACGTGATAAAAAATTTGTGATACCCCAGTGTATAACGGACCAATTAAATTTATACGCCATGGTGCAATTAAAGAAGCAAATTTATAAAAATGAACGTTAGGTGCGTCACTCCAGAGGACCCAGGATAAAGTTTCAGCATTAGATGTTTTGAAGAGATAAATTTATAAAAATGAACTGCATCACTCCAGAGGACTCAATATAAAGTTAATAAGTATGTAAAAAACCTATTAAACGTTGTAAAGAGGCAATATAAATGAATAAATTATTGTGACTACGCCACTGGTATTTTAAATTAAGACAGAATTTCGCACGGAAATTAATAAAAATGAATAAAATATTACCCGCCACTGTTATTTCAAATTAATTCATGGTATAAAATTTTTGAATTTATGAATGCTTTATTTGCTTCTACAATAAAAATAGAGAATTTTAAGTGACTGTGACAAAGACAAAAAATCTGCATTGTTTTTATAAACGTGTAACCACACGGCTGCATTCACACGATGGAAAATGAACATGTGTTTATAGTGTAGTAATGAAACATCAATTTATTTTTGTCTGGCTTGGCAGCTGTTATAATGTTATGCCATTAAAGACAGTGTATGCAAAAGACATTTTTCTATTTTTTAAGAACTTGAAATAAAACTTAGACATTCAAGATTTATATAGGTTCATGAGAAAATTTTCGTGAGAACATGTTTTAGCGCGATAATTAGAGGGCGTTAATTAATTTTTTTTTAAAAAAGAATGCACTTTTAGCATTGGGCATTGGACTTTTTATTTGAATGATACTTGTACAGAGTTTAAGGCGTTGATTAATTTTTTAAAAATGCATATATTTTTCTATTGGTATAAAGTGAAAGATTTTTTTATTTTAATGTTGTAATTGGCTTATTAAAATTCATCATTGGGGGTGAGAAGAACTTCGGGAAGGGGGCTATCGTTTAAATATAAATAATGTGGATTATTTTAGTTAGTTTATTAGCAATGAATCAAGTAAAAATTATAAGTCATTTCTGTAGCATAGGCGGGGGTCAGTTCCAAATTGTGAAAGAGAATCCGGATCTTGACAATTCGGTAATTTATATTTCGGGGAATTGTCAACCGATTGGATCAATTCGAAATAAAAAAATGTGTACCGTAACTTCAACTCATAAAAAAATGTGTGCCGTAACTTCAACTCCCCTACTAAATGATCGTTTTGAAAAAATTTCGACTGATGAAATCTTCGGTGATTCATCGATGGTTGAGACGCCCACGACTTCCATGCTATCACCTTTTGATACCAGAACCGAAGACCTAGGACCATTTACTTCCATGCCTTCTGGAACCAGAGCCAAAAACCCAAAACCATCTATTTCCATGCCTTCTGAAACAACAGCCGAAGACCTAGGACCATCTACTTTCATGCCTTCTGGAACCACAGCTGAAGACCTAGAACCATCTACTTTCATGCCTTCTGGAACCACAGCCGAATACCTAGGACCATCTACTTCCATGCCTTCTGGAACCAGAGCCAAAAACCCAAAACCATCTACTTCCATGCCTTCTGAAACAACAGCCGAAGACCTAGGACCATCTACTTCCATGCCTTCTGGAACCACAGCCGAAGACCCAAAACCATCTACAGAACTTGTCTCACCCCCTGAAAATGTAGGCAGTGTCATCAGATCTGCAAGCGATCTATCCGTATTTGATGAAGATGACGAAATTTGCAACTATCAGAGACAATTAAGTGCATTTCTTGAAATAAACAATCAGTTTTGCGATCAAACTTTAAAACTACAAAACAATTTAAAGAAAAAATTGTTTAAATATGAAACGAAAGTTTCACGCATCAAAAAGCGTATAAACAAACTGGCTAAATATGGTGATATGGCAATAAATTTAAAAACTTTGTATAAAAATATAAATAAATAATTTTTAAATATAACTATTGTTTCAATAAAACTTTTCAGGTACTAAACTAATGACGAAATTTGTAACTACCAGAGACAATTAAGTGTATTTCTTAAAATAAACAATCAGTTTTGCGATCAAACTTTAAAACTTCAAAACAATTAAAAAAAAACTGTTTAAATTACGAAACGAAAGTTTCACGCATCAAAAAGCGTATAAACAAACTGGCTATACAGGGTGTCCTTTAAAATGTGTCCCAAAATTCTCAGACAGATTCCTTAACCAAAAAATGGAAAAAAAGTTCCTATAGACCTATGTCCTAAAGTGCCCCCTAAGCGAGCAACAGCCTCTCGAAATCATTTTTTTTATTTTGATTTTTTGAATTTTCTTAAAAATGGAAACAAATAAAAGCAGCCGTTTCCGAGAAAACATCATCCAAAGATATTCGTCCACTTTAGCTTAATTTTCAATTTTCCTAAATTACCTCGGTGAATCTCGTAAATAAAAATAACTTTTTTAGCTCTCTCTAAATAATTGTAGTTCAAATTAGACTTGTACTTGCTCGTTCACTCAGCTGATTCGTTCAATCTCGTTCACTGAATGAAGTGAACTAGTTCGTTCAAATCGTTCAATAGTTCAGTTGGATCTTTTAACAGAATGAGCGGTGACTCGATGAGTGATACGAGAATGTGAGTTCTGAACGATATATAAAAATAAATAAATGAAATTTGCAAAACATTTAAAAAATTATTTACCTAATAATTAAAACAAACTTTAAAAAATAAAATAAAAAAAAACAAAATAAAAAATAAAATAAAAAAAAACAAAATAAAAAATGAAATTGGCAGTATCCGGAATTATTTACATTACAATTCACATATTGTTGTGCAGAAAAAAGAGACTAGATACTCTTTCTGATTTTAATAGAGTTCTTCTTTCGTTAAGAATCTGCCCAGCATTTGAAAAAACTCTCTCGCAAGGCACAGAGGTGGCAATAATGCAAAGTCTTTTTAACATATAATTGTATAAAAGAGGATAAAAAGGCCTCCTTTGATGCCACCATTGCAATGGATCAGTTGACCTAGGGACAATATCTTCATTGAGATATTTATCAAGCTCAATGATTGCGGCTGCAGTGGTATTTTGAGGCTTTAAAAGATCAATTTCGGCATCAAAAGTGTCCCACACAATATTTTTTTTCTGTACCTGTGTGGTGGTGGTGGTGGTGTTGGACTTGGACGAAAAAACAGATGTTGATGTGGTACTTGCTTGTGTTGGTACTGCACCAAGACGTTTTCTCAAGCCAATAACAGCCTTATCAAATTTGGATACATTTTTAAAGCCTCTTTTTTTGAATCGAGGGTCAAGAATAGTACTTTCTGAATAGAGAGGTTCGTTTTCATAATCTTGAAATCTAGTTAAAATACCTTCTTGTATAGCGTAAAGCATTTCCATAATTTCAGTTATTGGCTGTTGACATTCTTGATGATTTTTTATAGTTTGTGCGACATTTTGCGTCATTATTTTAATAAAAACTATTACTTTAGACAAACTTACTGTTTTTTCACTACTTATTTCTGTAGTAATTCCATAAAATATTTCTAAGATATTGACTGATTCCTCTATTATAATCCAATCACTGTCTAGGAGAATAAGATCACTTTTTAAAAGTGCAATTGTTGCTATTACTGCCTCTTTTATTTTTACAATACGACTTAACATATCGTATGTTGAGTTCCACCTCGTCACAACATCTTGTTTAATTTTGAGGAGTGGAAGTCCCATCTGTTGCTGGGTGTCACTTAATTTTTTTTGTGCTTGAGTGCTTCGTTTAAAATATTCTACAATGCGTTTTACTTTAATTAGCTGGTTATTTATGGGAACAGTACCGGTCCTGACGATTAAATTTAATAAGTGTGCAAAGCAACCAATTGACCTCCACTCTCCTACACGAACTGCTGCTAATATATTTGAAGCATTATCTGAAACTACAGCACCTATTTTATTACATATGTTCCATTTATTAAACATTTCCTTTAAAAAACTACACAAATTATCAGCCGTATGTCTTTCATCGTATTGTATACAACCAAGAGTACATGAACAAAGTTTTGTTTCACTATTTATAAAGTGAGCCGTGACAGCTATAAAACTATCATTGTTCCGGGATGTCCAACCATCGGTTGTAATACAAACTGCTTTTGCAGATATTAATTTTTCTTTTATATCTTCCGAAATACTATTTTCGACAGTAGTCATTAAATTATTAGACAGTGATTTTCTTGTCGGTGGTTGGTATCCAGGACAAAATGACACCATTTCAATAAGTTTTCTGAATTCTGGTTCTTCTACAATTCTAAAAGCATGATGACCCTTAGCAATCATTTTTAACATCTGCCTGTCGATTTGTTCAGTTTTACGAGCTGGAGGTGGTTTTCGTATAAAATGAGTAATGGTAGGTTGATTTGAGGTTACTCGAAGTACACATGTTTGTGATGAAGATGAAGATTGAACTTGAGGATTATTCTTCACCTCTACGGTTTCATTATTCATTTGCTGCACTTCATTTAGTTCAAGTAAGTTTTCAAGTCTTTCAGATTGAACTAAAATGGTAGGATGTTTACTTTTTAAATGTCTATTTAAATTTCCCACAGAACCACTCGCTATACTTATAGGCTGATGACAATAATTGCACTTCGCCAATTTTTTATTTTCATTTTCACTAAAATGAGCCCATACGGCACTGTATTTTCTTCGTGGAGGCATACTTCAATTAAAAAACGTTTACAACACTAATCTATAGAATTGTAAACAACAACAACAACAACAACAACAAAGCATTTGGGAATCCCAAGATGCGAATTGAAACAATATTTTTAAGCAATACGTATTAATACATTCCTAAAGCAGATAACCAATAATACAAACTAATGTATTATGTGTTGCCTATACCAGTAGACAATCAAAAAATGTAAAGAAGGTCATACGATTCATAGGAAGGAAACTGTTTTCGTTCGTTCGGTTCAACTGAACTACTGAGCTATGTGATCGAGTCGTTCTGAACTAGTTCAATTAGTTCATTAAAGAGATATGCTTCTTTGAACTAGTTCGTTCGTGAACTACCCAAGCCTAGTTCAAATGTCGTGGTGGGACTATTTTTATTTAATAATAAGAAACGGTTTAAAAAAATATTTATTCTAAAAAAACAAATCAAAAAAAATTAAAGCAGATGCTCAATGTGGCGACCATTGGTTTCCACACACAAGCGCAACCGTCGCATCATAGACTGTCTTACACGAAAAAATACTTCAGGATTATTCCTAAGAACTTCGCAATGATGAAAAACTCGTTCTTCCAATTCTTCAACTGTTTCAACAGGACTGGAATAAACCAATGATTTTAAATAACCCCAAACAAAAAAATCCATTGGATTTAGATCTGGTGAACGAGGTGGCCAGTTAACAGGACAACCTCTGCCAATTACTCTACCCTCAAATCTTTCGTTAAGGTGCTGTCTAGCTTCAAGGCTGTAATGTGGTGGAGCTCCATCATGCATAAACCACATGTTATGTCTGATTTGAATCGGAATATTATCAAGAAGCTCATGTAAGTTATTTTCCAAAAAAAGCCTGTATGCTGCTACATTTAACCTATTCGGCAAAACAAATGGTCCAATAAGGTAATTATCAATAACTCCAGCCCAGACGTTTATTGAAAATTTATCCTGGTGGTGACGTTCAACAACCGCGTGAGGGTTATCTTCAGCCCATTCATGCATATTTCGAAAATTTATTATACCATCTCTAGTGAAACCATCTTCATCGGTAAATAGCACTTTATTAAGAAACATTGCATCTTGATTACATCTTCCAAGAAACCATTCAGAAAAGATAACTCGCGGCTCATAATCAGTAGCTTTAAGTGCCTGAACTTTTTGAATGTGGTAAGGGTACAATTGTTGTTCACGCAAAACTTTCCATACCGTGTTACGTCCGACTCCCACTTCTGAAATTAAATGAGAGAATCTGTGTAGTGAATAGTTAAGAAAGAGAATCCATTGATTTGGGAAATCAGATTTTTTCTGCATAACGCAACTCTTTTCGATACGAAAAGTCGTGAAATGTAAGAGAAGCAATAACAAGTAAAAAAACTAGTTTTATACGATAAGGTACGGGGTAGCTAAAATAATAAATAAGTAATTACTTACCATTTGCTATTTTTCTGGTACTTGTCGATGGGGTTTCAGCTACCCTATCCAAAATTGCTTCTTCCAAAGCAGGAGTTCTCACATAATTTTGTCTTCCACTGTTACTAGAGTTTTTCTTAAATGTACCAGTTTCCCGAAGTCTATCGTCAATTCTAGAAAACGTCTTAGCGCATGGAAGATGCCTATTTGGAAAGCGCTCCTGATAAAGTCTGCGAGCTTCATTGGCATTTCCAGAAGCGAGTCCAAAACATAAGTGCATGTCCGTCATTTCGCCGAATGTGTAATCATTATTGTAGTTATTGTGAGCCATTTTAAACAAAATAATAACAATACAACGAATCGCACCAGAACACTTTTAGAAATAATGTTTAACTGAAGAAACATTTTTATCAGTGAGCGAAAAAAATTATCCATGAAACACAAAAACGCCAAAAAAATACATATTTTTACTTTTTTATTCTAAACAGCTAAATACAAACCTTATGGTCTTCATAATAAATAAATGGGAACTAAATTTTTAAATTTTATTTAGAGAGCTAAAAATAGTATACAGGGTGATTGATTAGTGTGAGGAAGCTCTGTAGATCTGTTATAATAAAAGTAGGCAGCTTTAAGCTTCACATTTTAAAATTAGTTACGATGTGACAGGGTGTTTCATAAGGCCGTGCCAAATCAAAGTTGTTTTTTAAATGGAACACCCTGTATATTTTTATATTTTTAGAATCTGCTCGATAATCTGATTTCAATGATATATCACACTTGTTATCTAATATGATTAGTAAAGGATCTACAGCTACTCAAAAATCACATTTTT